CCCAAAGAAAGCAATGGAAAATTGTTGAAGAGATGTTACATTTTACAGTCTCTAACTCCTGTTAGAAATCGTCATAAAAAATATATATTTATATAGGCCATTTTGTCTGTTAAATGTGTTATATATACGTAGCCTTCATTTATGACGAAACAAAGAGAGAGAGAGAAAGAAAGAGGCAGAGAAAGAGTGGTAGGGAGGAGGAGGAAGAGAGTCCACACACACACACACACACACACACACACACACACACACACACACACACACCACTGCTCAGAGTGGCCAGTGAGAACACTGTGTGTGGGTTGTTGAGGGGTCTTTTTGGAAGAGTGATCAGAGAATTGGCTGCGGTGCTCTTAACACTAAAGAGCTGAACATAAGAACTCTGCTGTTGTGCACTAAGAGAACATTCAGCCTGGGATCTGCCTGCCTGTTACAAACAGGTCAGAACAACCAGTGCTTTTGGAGAACAGCCAGGTGGATTAGAATGGCACTACTGTACGGCTGACTGTGTGTGCGGTACAGAAGAGACCCAGAGGTTACACTATGTGAGGTCTTCCATTGTCAATGCACACAGTGAGTTTGCACACAAGAAAGACACCCCCCTTTTTCTCTGTCTGCACTGCTCTGCTCCTCTCTGTTGAGACATGCTAAAAACTCCCCCACCAAACGGCGGGGGAAACGGAAAGACGGGTGGGACACACCTCCAAGTCATTTCTCTTCTTCTTTTTCTCTATTCATTCTTCTTAATATCCGTCATTTTCCTCAACTCCCATCTCTGAGTTCTTTGAGGACGCATGCGCAAGTTCAACTTTTGAGTTTTAATTTGTGCTGCTTTTGATGTCCTTGCAATGCTTTTCATGGGTGATTGAGCGAATGCCAGTCTTGGTTAGTGGGGTGTTGTTCATAGAGCAAAGCCTTTTCACTAGAAAAGCGCCTCCTCTGGATTAGAGGAACTCAATAGTATCTGTGTGCCCTTCCATAGTCTATGCACTCTCCTTCTCTCTCTCTCCCTCATTTTCATGTCCTGAACCAGGAGGGAGAGGAGCCCGGGAGGAGGAAGAAGCCTAAGGTTTAAAAAAAGGAAGGATAAGGGTGCTGATTTTTTTTTGGCCCCCCTTGTCGGGGGGGATGCCCAAAGGGCCCCCCAATGAGACTGATAAACGGAGGGGAGATGGCAGATAATTTACCCTGTGCTTATCCCGGGGACGCCCCCCGCCCCGCCCCGCCCTGCCACATCAAACTGGGTCACCCCTCTCCAGTCTTTCTCAGTACTCCCCACACATTGATTTTTTGAATATTTTTTAAAAAATATTTCTCTGTCTATCTCTCTGTGTTTCTGTGCCCGGGCTGTCTGGGGGGTCCCCCCGTGTTTCTTTTCGGGTCTCTTTAAACGCTGTTTGGGTTGGAGGGTAGACTTCTGGGGGGGTTTGGGGGGGTTTGGAGGGGGGTTATGGGGCAGCCTCCCCAGCCCCTCCCGGGGGGGGATCCAGATGTAAGGCCCGGTTTCCCTCCTCGATCCCCGGGTTTTCACCTTGTGGAAACCCCCTCGAACCCTGCCCTTCCCCTTTCCAAACCCCAGTTTGAGAGAAGAGGGGGAGAAGAGAGAGGGAAAAAAAACCCGAAGAGAGACAGAAGGGAGAGAGAGACAGAGAAGAGGAAGAAAAGGGGAAAAATAGAAGAGAAGATAAGAAGGGAAAGAAAGTTTAAAAAAGGGAGGGAAAAAAAGGGGGAAAGAAAAAAAACCCCCAAAAAAAGGGGGGGAAAAAAAAAACCCCCCCCCCGGGCCCCCCGGGGTTTTTTTAGGGGAGAAGAAGAAGAGAGCGAGGGAGAGAAGAGAGGGGAAAAAAGGGGAGGGAGGGAAAACGTCAGAATTTTTTCCCTGTTGGGGTTTTCCGCCTAAAAATTTTATGGGGCAAAAAAATCCAGATCAAGTCCCCCACTGTCATCTCCCTGCAAGTTAGAGGAAAAATTGGGGGGCCCAAAACCCCTTCCTGCTTAATGGAAAAAAATTAAAACCCCAAAAGTTTCTAGAAAAATTTTTAAAACCTTTAGAGCATTTCTAGAATCCTTTTCCCCCAGTTTGAGACCGGGGGCCCAAATCCCCTTTCCCTTTTGGCCCTGCCCTTCCTTTTCCCTTCCCCCCGCCCGAAGGTGTTGAGTTTTCCCGTTTTTGAAAACAAAAACAACCAACACAAAAAACACCAAAAAACAAAACCAAAAATCCCCCTTTAAAAAAAAAGGGTTCAAAAAAAACAAGGGGGGGGTTCTAAAAAACCCCCTAACCCCAAATTTTTCCAAATTTTGGGGACACCTACTCCTTTTTAAAAAGGGGTTTTTCTTTTTTTTTTTTTCTTTTTTTAAATTTTTTGTAGAAAAAAAGGGGGAAAGCCCAAAAAATCAAAACTTTTAAAAAAACTTTTAAATAATACCCAATTATTTTACAAATTTTGATTCCCAAAAATGTTTTAAATTTCCCTTTTTGATGTCTCCACAAAATTATTCTACAATTTAGAAAAAAAGTAAAAAAAAAGAAAAACCCTTGAATGAGTAGGTAAAGCCCAAACTTTTGACGGGTAGGGGTAGCTAGTGTGTAAATTTGTGTGTCGTGTGGGGGGTGTGTGTGTGGGGTGTTTTTTGTGTTTTTTGGGGTTTGTAATTTGTTTTATTTTTTTGTGTTTTTTTAATTTTTGTCGCTTTTTTTTTTCACCAGGAAAATTTCCTCAAAAGTTACTTGGGCCCGGACAAAAGAGGGCCCATAGGGTTTAGTTTTACGGCCTTTTTTTAGTTTTGCCCGGAAAAAAACAATTTTTGGCTGCCCCCCCCCCATTTTTTTCTTTTTTCCCCTCCTCCCCCTCACCGCAAAAGGGGGGAAAAGCGAGGGGTGAGGGAGGGAAAAATGGGGGGAAAAGAAAAGGGGAAATGGGGAGAAAAGGGAAAGGGAGAAAACGGAGGGGGGATGGGGGGAGATGGTGGGAGATAGCCCCGGGGGGGAGGGAGGAGGGGAAGGGGAAAAAACCCTTTTGTGGGTATTTTGGGTTTAAAAACCCCTTAGTCTTTTTATTGTGGGGGCCCGGTCGTCCCCTTTTTGTTTTTTTTCCTTTGGTTGTGTATTTTTTAAAGGGGGTTTGCCCGCCCTGCGTCCTCTTTGGGGGGGGGCCCCCCAGGGGGGGTTTCCTCCCCAGGGGGGGAATTTTGGTTTTAAGAAAAAGAAATTTTTTTTATTAAACACAACCCCAAAGGGGGAAACAAAAAAAGGGGGGGGTAGACCGATTTTTTTTCAATTTTTTTTAAAGGGGGGGGAACCCTTTGGGGGTTTAGGAAAAACCCGATTTATTTATTATTTATTTTTAAAACCCCTACCCCCCTTTTATTTTATTTTTTTTCACCAAAATTCCAACACTTCGTAAACCAAATAAATACAGAACCAAACAGCTGTTTTTTTGACTTTTTTAAAAAAATGTAGAGGGCCAAATTTTTCCCTCCCTCTTTTTAAATATAAAAATTAAAAATATCCCCAATTAAAATAAAATCTCCAAAGTTTTTGGTTTTCCGGGGAAATCTGATCTGTGCTGTCTGTACCTGCTCTGCCCCCCCCTGGGGCAAAAACCGCCCCTGGCCCCCCCGTTTTCCCCCCGGTTTACCAAAATTACCTGTTTACGTCTGTTTTTTTTGGCCCGAAAACCCCCCGCTTAATTTTGGGGTTTCTTTTCATTCCTTCCATTTGGGTTTTCCCCCCTGTACACACAATTGGTTTCCCCCTTCCCCCCCGGGGTACTCCCCGGGGGGCCCCCGGTGGTGTCTTGTTGGGGGGGGGCCAAGCGGTCTTTTCGGGCTTTCAATCAATCACCCTGTAAATTAATAAATGAAAACCGCTGGGGGCAAGGGTTTTACTCTGTTGGGGGGTAAATCTTACGATGACAAAAAATTTTCCAAAACTTGTCGGGGGAACTAAAACACGGGTTCATCATTTACCCGTCCTTTTATAGGCCCCAATATTTTTAGGGGCCCTGGCAAATGGCCTATGTAGAAGAGAGAAAAAGGGGGAAAGGGGGTAAAAAAGACATAAAAAGGGGCAGAAATAAAATTTATAGTGGGACAAATAGAAATTTTTGAAATTTTTTAATTTCACCCTCCACTTGTGGGGAAACTTTTTTTCATACTGTTTTTGGAGAACGTCCCTCCCGGGAAACACAACAAAATAACCCAAAGTTTCTTCAAACAGTCAGTCAGTCCTGGGTTCAGTCAGTCGTCAGCCCCAGCTAGTCAATCAGCCCCCAGCAGTCCCCCTGCTGGGTCCCCTCAGTCAGCAGTAAAGTAAAAACAGTCAGCCCAGTAAAACAACAGCCCGGTTCAGCCCAGTCGGGGTCGTCTGCTATCAGCCCAGGGGTCATCAGACAGTCAGTCAGTCAACTAGTCAGTCATTCAGTCAGCTTTTCAGTCTGCTACCCGTCAGTCAGTCAACAGTTTTTTTCACTATCTCATTTCAGCTAGTCATCGTCCACCCGTCAGTCAGCCCCCCGTCAGTCGTCAGTCACTATTCAGCCCGTCATTCTACTACCCGCCCTCAGACAGCCCACCCAGTCAGCTTTTCATCAGTCAGCAGTCAGTCAGTCTTGTCACCCCAACCGCTAGTCGGGCCCGGTCAATCTACATTCAGTCAGTCAGACACCCCCCTCATCAGCCGTCAGTCCCTGCTAGTCCCCATCAGACCAGTTCACCCTATCATTTAAGTCAGCAGTCAGTCAGTCAGTCGCCCAATTTCAGTCAGCTATCAGTCAGTCAGTCAGTCAGCCCCAAGAAAAGTCACCATTTTGGCTAGCCCATCAATGTGTAGGTTGTGTGTCAAACTTTGATGGTAGTGTAGCTAGTGTGTGAGTTTGTGTGTCTGTGTGTGTGTGTGTGTGTGTGTGTGTGTGTGTGTGTGTATGTGTGTATGTAAGTGTGTGTGTATGTGTGTGTCGTATGTGTGTGTACATACAGGACATTCTCAAGTGACTTGGGCCGGACGAAGATGGCGATAGGGTGGAGCTGAGCGGCCTGTAGTCTGCGGACAGCATTGGCTGACACATCCAGTATACAGTGTTTCCCTGCTATCACAGCAAAGGAGGGAAAGCGAGGGGTGAGGGGGGGAGAGATGGGAGGAAGAGAGGGAATGAGGGAGAGAACGGAAAGGGAGAAAACGGAGGGAGGATGGGAGAGATGGTGGGAGAGAGAGAACGGCGGGAGGGAGAGAGAGGAGGGGAAGAGAACGGAGGGAGGGAGAGAGGGTGGGGGGAGACAACGGAGGGAGAGAGGAGGAGAGGGAGGGGGAGAGACGAACGGAGGGAGGGAGAGAGGAGGAGGGGGGAGAGAAACGGAGGGAGGGAGAGAGAGGGGTGGAGAGAACAGAGGAGGGAGAGAGAGGAGGGGGAGAGAACAGAACGGAGGGAGGGAGAGAGGGTGGGGAGAGAGCAGAGGGAGGGAGCAGAGAGGAGGGGGAGAGAAGCAGGCGAGGTGAGGGAGAGGAGGGAGGTGGAGAGAACAGAAGGAGGGAGAGAGTGGTGGGGGAGAGAGCAGAGGGAGGGAGAGAGAGGAGGGGGAGAGAGCAGAGGGAGGGAGAGAGAGGTGGGGGGAGAGAACAGAGGGAGGGAGAGAGAGGTGGGGGAGAGAACAGAGGGAGGGAGAGAGAGGAGGGGGAGAGAACAGAGGGAGGGAGGGAGAGAGAGGAGGGGATTCAATCAGCCAGATCCTTTTACACTTCGTAAGCCAATCAATACAGAACAACAGCTGTTGTTGTGAGCATGTTAAATAATGTAGAGTGGCCTAATGTGTCATCCCTCTCATGTTAATATAATAATATAAATATCACAATGATAATATATCTCCAAAGCTTGTTTCACAGGGTATCTGATCTGTGCTGTCTGTACCTGCTCTGCCACCTCGCGGACGCTCTGAACGCTGGTGCCGTACAGATGGCTGTTGTACTGGCCCGCCTCGATGAAGCGGTGGCTCTGGATGTCCTTCTCCATTTGTTCCCGTGACGACACAAAGTGGTAGTCCCGCCCGTCCACCTCGTACTCACGCTTGGGCCGCGTGGTGTCTGTGTGGGAGGGGCCAAGCGGTCATTCAGGCTGTCAATCAATCACCCTGTCAATAGATCAATGTAAACCGCTGGAGGCAAACGGTTACTCTGTGAAGGGTCAATACTTACGAGGGACACAAGATCCAAACTTGTCAGGGAACTCAGACAGCAGGTCATCATTTACCCTGTCCTTTATAGGACCCAATATTATGATGGGCCTGGCATAATGGACTATGTAGAGAGAGAGAAGAGCGGTAAGGGGGATAAATAAGACATGAAATGGGCAGAAATATAAGTATAGTGTGAAAGAATAGTACTTGAAAGTTTATTCTCACCCTCCACTTGTGTGACTGTTTCATAGCTGTGTTGAGAATCGTCCCTCCCTGGAAGCACAACATAATAACACCAGTTAGTCAGTCAGACAGTCAGTCAGTCAGCTAGTCAGTCAGTCAGTCAGTCAGCTAGTCAATCAGTCAGCAGTCAGTCTGCTAGTCTCTCAGTCAGCAGTCAGTCAACAGTCAGACAGTCAGACACAGTCAGTCAGTCAGTCAGTCAGTCTGCTAGTCAGTCAGCAGTCAGTCAGACAGTCAGTCAGTCAACTAGTCAGTCAGTCAGTCAGCATTCAGTCTGCTAGTCAGTCAGTCAGTCAGACAGTCAGTCAGCTAGTCAGTCAGTCAGCTAGTCAGTCAGTCAGCAGTCAGTCAGTCAGTCAGTCAGTCAGTCAGTCAGCTAGTCAGTCAGTCAGTCTACTAGTCAGTCAGTCAGACAGACAGTCAGTCAGCTAGTCAGTCAGTCAGCAGTCAGTCAGTCAGTTAGTCAGTCAGTCAGCTAGTCAGTCAGTCAATCTACTAGTCAGTCAGTCAGACAGTCCCTCAGCTAGTCAGTCAGTCAGTCTGCTAGTCAGTCAGTCAGACAGTCAG